GAGAGAGAGAGAGAGAGAGAGAGAGAGAGAGAGAGAGAGAGAGAGAGAGAGAGTGTGACTTCTGGGGATTTGGACCTACTGTCACCACATTAGTGACAATGGAAAGGCGAGCTTCTCTGGTGAGAAATAAAGCCACATTCATCCACCATCACAGGACCTGCTTGGCATGTGAAGGTACAGAGTATCCACAGACCATAGAAAACACCAAAAACACCCACCACTGTCAGTGATATACTGCTTGTGTAAAAAAAATGCACAAGTATCTATGTTAGAAGTCATATTGCAAGATGCAACCTTTGTCTAGAAATCACTTTCCCATAGGTCAGGAACAAAATATTCAATTTTTATTAATAACAAAAAATTAAAGAGAAGTAAAGTGAAAGATGAAAAACCTGAAAACCAAAGGCTATTCAAGGCGTCAGCATTCGAAGCAGACGCCTGTAGTAAAGGCTTAGAGACTCAACACCCCAAAGGTGGCACCTCTTCCACCTGCCTCATTGGTGTCGGGCCATGCCTCCAGAGCCCTGCATTTTTGTTTGTCATTGTTTCTGTTCTACACCTCAAAGAAAACGTTCTGCAGATGTTGAGGGAATGGAAATGACCAAGGATGGGTTAGAACCTATGAAGATGAGCACATCAGGAAGACTGGCTCATACTGGTGTAGAGTACCACCCAACGAAGGGGCAGACATCGGGGGACCACACAAACCTAGTCTGTGTCATGACTCAAAGGTGCCCCATGGGCCAGTGGGCTGCTGGGAACATGCATACACCTCCCCGCTGAGCACACCAGGCAGGGGCATGGGCCTTGGCTGTCTTGGAGTTGGGTCCCCACTCTACGGAGCCCAGATGCTCCTGTAGCCGCAGCTCTGCCTGTAGCAGGGTTCTCTGCTCTTGGTGAATTTGAGAAACTGAAAGAAGGGGAACCCTGACAGGCAACCCCTGCTTCCCCCACCCTCCACACTCAAGACAGCCAGCCGGTTCCGTGGCACCTGGCTGCACTTGCTTCTTAAGTGACAGCTGATCACCAACCTCACCCCAGGGAGCAGTAGCTCCCAGGATAATTAATTTCCCTCATATTGTGCCACCAGCGGCTTTTAATTTTGTAAAGTTGCCCATATTTGAAAGAGCTACGCATCCTCTCGGTTATTAAATGCCAACCACATTTGTTTACAAATAAAACCAAGTTAATTAAATACTGCATCTACGTTAGCAAGCGATAAGAGAGCATGGCGTCTGCAGGCAGATAGATCCCTGTGTTAGCCTCCTGTCACGGGCTACAGAGCAGGTCCTTGGAGAACACTGCACTCCGAGGGGGGACTGTGTCCAGCATCTAGCCCGGACACACTGTTGGAATTCACACAACACCTGGAAAATACTGAAGCATCCGGCACTTTCCAGCAGAGAGGCAGAAGGAAGGCCATCCACTGCTGTAGTTCCTTCTGAGGACACATTTGGCTGGTGTCAAGCAGAAGGGACCCGCTCTGGGGGTGCAGGGGTAGACTCACAGCGCCTCGTTCCCTCCCCTTCCACAGACAGATGGGATCTTGGTTTTGTCTACATTGCACCCTCACAGCGTCTACGCAAACAGATGTTCCCACAGAGAATCACACGGCAAGATTTAGGCGTCTGGTGCCACAGCCGAGGTCAGGATGCCATAGCCGAGGTCAGGATGCTGCATGGGTAGCCTGCAGGAAGGAGGAACTAGCAGCACCTTGTACCCCGCATCCTTCCCCAGCCTGTTCGTGTGCGTGACCCTCTCTCTACACATCCATTCCATAGAATGAAGTGCTGTGACACTTCCTGATCTCAAGCTTCTAGATGATGTCACAACAGGCAGGGTACTGGCTTTCTTCTGTCCACCCCTCCCCCAGCCTGGCTGTGAGCAATAGACAGAGAGAGGTAGCCAGTTCCTGGTTCAACCAAAATCGTTGTTTCTACTTTGAAGGTACCAGAGGGGCAGTGCAGAGGACTCAGCTCTGGAAATGATGGACAGGTTGGTGGCCACACCTGCTTTTTGGGGCCAGGAAGAGCCCTCAAAGCTTGACCTGTTCATTCTCTGGTACCATACAACATGCCCAGATGGCTACAGAGCCACCCTGTGTTGCGGTGTCCTGTCTTCCAGATGTTCATGTCCTGTACCCCTTGTGCTGAGGTGTCCTGTCTTTCAGGTGTGGACGCTCTGGGTCCCCTGTGCTGACGTGTCTCGTCTTCCAGGTGTGGACGCTCTGGGGCCCTCTGTTCTGGGGTATCCCATCTTCCAGGTGTGGACACTCTGGGGCCCTCTGTTATGGGGTATCCTGTCTTCCAGGTGTGGACGCTCTGGGGCCCTCTGTTCTGGGGTATCCCGTCTTCCAGGTGTGGATGCTCTGGGGCCCTCTGTTCTGGGGTATCCCGTCTTCCAGGTGTGGATGCTTTGGGACCCCCATGTGCTGAGGTGTCCTGTCTTCCAGGCATGGTTGATTCCTGCGACCCTTTCATCTGATTCTGTGAGATACTCCCCAGAGATCAAGACGTCCCCACCACACATCCTGAAGAAGTTTGCAGGTAACGTGGAAGAGGCTATCGGGGCTGTTTTTATGGAGGATTTGACCTAGCTTGTCTGGTTCAAGGGACGCAGGGAATTCTAAATGACCCAAGGAGTCACCTCCAAGTCTCTAGGTCTTCAGTTTCATTACGGAGCAGCTCACTTGGAATCTCTCACATCAGTTTAAGGAACAACGGGATTATAGGGTTTTCTGTCAGTTCTACTCTTCAGTTACTTTAAAATTCTTGTCTCAGAAGTGGCTTTTTATGTAATCAAACCTATTTTTCAACAAGGAAGCAAGCACACCTTGCCCCCCTACTAGGTCTGTAAGCCGGCATTAGACTCTTGACCCGTGGGTATGGAAGCTGTGCGAAAATGTGATTTTCTTGAGGCACACTGAGTATCCATGGTATCATTTCATTTACTTTAAATCAGAAAGAGAAGCTTCTAGAATTGCATGCTTCCCAGGAAGAACATCAGATGACCACTGGGGACAGGTGAGAAGGAACTGTCACCCCCCCTGCCCATGCCTCTGTTCAAAACTTTTTTCCTCAATTGAACATGCATTGCCATTATGAGCATGCATTGCCATTGTGAGCATGCATTGCCATTATGCTAAGTGACATGGAGGGAAGCAGAGAAGAAATGTGTTCATCTTTTGTTTGCCTCCCTTGGAAGGCAGGGAGTTTTTCTGTGGGGTTCTCTGAAGGGAAGCCAACTTCTACAAGCTAACCTTGTAGGCCTGGAGTAAGGGGAGGCTCAGCCAGGATGGGGTCGGGGAGGTACTCTGTCATACGGGGGGCCAGGCTAAAGGCTCCTAAGAAGACTATTTGTGACTTCTGATTCAGAACAAGCAAGATAAGGTGATGTAGGCAGACCAGGGCCACAGGACTGAGTCCCGTCCCCCACCCCCCTCCCCCCGAGTCACCCAGTGGTAAAACAGTAGCTAGAACAAAGGACCTGTCCTTCAGATCCTCATGAGCAGCTCCTCTTTTGGTCTCTGCTTATAGTCATGAGCCTGGGGGAGCTATCTGAATGGGGTGGGCACTGATGCCCACCCACTTCTTCAAGGGGTTCCTGGTAGCTGTTGGATGTTGGTCCTGAATACATAGGCTCAGGGCTGGGACACCCCACTCCAGGTGTGTGGGGTCAGGTGAGAGGTGATCTCAGGATACAGGGAAGCTGTGTCCTGGGGAGGAGGCTGTCTTAGGGGTACAGGCAGGTATATCTATAAACTGTTGAGCTGCATCCTGCGGGCAGGAAATGATCTCCACTTGGTGTCTTGCTTTCCTGGTATTTCCACGCTGTGGGCCTATGCTTTGCCTGCGTGCTGGTATTCTAGCTTGGACCATGATAAATGAATAGGACAGTGCTGATTCCTATTACCACTTTCAGGTGGTGGTTAGGACTGCCTCAAAGGCTTGTTGAGAAACTATAAAGTGACAAAGTTAGGCTGTGTTTCCACAATATCAGGATTTTTAAAATAATAATTCACAAAGTTCAACAGTTTTGTTGGTAGATTTTGACCAACACTATCACTTTCCTGGCCAGTTGAACACAGGTTCTTGTTTTTCTTCTTCTTTTTTTTTTTTTTGTTTTGTTTTGAGACAGGGTTTCTCTGTGTAGTTTTGGTGCCTGTCCTGGATCTCGCTCTGTAGCCCAGGCTGGCCTCGAACTCACAGAGATCCGCCTGGCCCTGTCTCCCGAGTGCTGGGATTAAAGGTGTGTGCCACCACTGCCTGGCCGTGGTTCTTGTATTTCTTAACAGTCATAATTACTGGTATCATTTTTCAGATCACACATAACAGAGTAAATATTTCTGCTTATGTCTATCACAGAATGGCAACAGACGGCTAAAAGGGCCTCAGGAGATTTCAGGGAGTTTCAAAGAGGGATGAGCGCAGAATTGGGGATGCTGACAGAGATGCAGAGAGTCTTGGGGGTTGGAATGTGTCTACTGCTGCTGCACAGTCCAGCTGCAGGCTCAGAGTTGAGCTGCAGGACCAAGGTATGATGGAGGCTGGCGCAGTGAAGACGGAGCAGCGAACTGACAATTCACGAGGTGGCGACATCAGCGGGCCCTGCGGAGCTGAAGCCCCTGGGACCGTTGGGGGTTCCCTGCTGGTCCAGACGCACACACCGGGGTTCTGTTGTCACCGCAGTGTGAGGTCGTCTCGAGTGGTCCAGGAGAGGGAGTTGCACCCTTTCCTTTGGTGTGCCCAGTAGGTTCTTGGTCATGCGTGGATTTCCTGGTATGATTTTGATGCACCCATGTGCCGCTTTCATCCTGACTTCTTCCATAGTCTGGACATACCGGTAGCCCTGGACACACCTGGTCTCATCTTGTTTATTTTGAAAAATTTATAGGACGGTACCCTTTCCACTCTCAGGGATAAGTCAGTCTGTCCCACAGATGGTGCTGGTCATCTGTACATCCAGGTGCAGAGTCCTCAACATGGAGTCTCTCAGGGCAAGGCAAAGTGTGAAGAACCAGTGCTTTCCATAATGGAATAATAACCCAGAGCAGGACAGGGCCTGATCTCAACACTGGGGAAGGCAGAGAGGCTATGGTAGGACCCCTGGCAGGGCTAGTCCCCAGCTAGTTCAGCTGGCCTTGTTAGCATTCTTTCAGACCCTCACCACTGCCCGGCCTCCCAGAAAGCATCCCGAGAGGGATCCAGGGTCGCCAGATGGCTCCTAGGCCAAGTGTGCACAGGTCAGCCAGCTCTTTACCACCCTGCCGTGAGTAACATGTGTCAGGTCCGAAACAGACACATGTTGGGATCTTTCCACGGTGTCAGATTAATTGATTGACAGTACATCTGTATACAAGGTATGTGGTGGCTGCAATGGCAGCCGTTACCAGATACCAGCTTCCCTGAGCCACCGGCTAAGGCGCACACGGGTTTATGATACTCTTCATACCACACATCTCTCAGTAAATACGTCACTGTATCTGTCCATATTGTATACATGTGGGTTACCTAATGGGCATCAGGGGTTAAAGAGGCTGCAGCATAGTTTCCAGAAGCTTCTGCAGTGGCTGATGGAAATGTGACCCGAGTCTGTTTCTCTGTCCGTCAGTCCTCGACTCACACTGACGTCAGTTGACAGGTCAGTGGGGCCACCATCATTGTCGGGTGGAGTGTCCACTTCATTATGGGGTGCAGGGGAGGAAGGCACACCTTTCCTGGGTCTGGTGTGTCCCATAAGTTCTTGGGCCTGGCTTTCATGATAAGATTTTAATCTGTCCACGTGCCCCCACAGCCTCAAATTCACCCCGGCGGGTTTTTGGAGTGGCACTCTCCATTCTAAGGACTAAGTCCTTTAGCAGTCAGGCTGGGCCGCTCGGGTGGTGCCAGACAGATGGTGGTGTTCATGTTTCTGCCCAGGGACATCGCCATCTTCCAGTCTCAAAATGGAGTCAGAAGTCCCCTGTAAAATGGAATCTCTCTGGGCAAGGTAGTCTGAGAAAACAGTTTTATACACTATCAAGTGACTTAGAGCAGACCAGAAATTGATCATCACGCCCTCACCTCTGGGGGCTCTGTGTACCTTCCTGCTGCCCTGCTGGGTGTGAGTCCCTCCCCTTCCTTCCCCAGGCACACAGATACTCTATCCTCGGTGACAGGCACCTTCTCAGCCATCCCCTGACGTCGTAAACCTTGTGGTTACCCCTGTACTCCAGGCTCTCTGTACACGTGGTGGCAGGGTCCTGTACTGTCCAACAAGGTTCTGTAGGCTTTGTGCATGGTTGTCCAAAATAGGGAGAGTGGAGGTCAGCTTCCCTGAGACAGGCCAGGCAGAGGCTGCCTCCAGCGCTCCCAGTCATGTGGGGAAAGGCGGGGGCATTGAGCCCCGCAGAGGCAAGGCTGCAGGATGTGCATCCTCGCTCAGGGCCAGCCTTTGTCTACCCGCTAAGCCTAACCTCCTATTGCCTGGGAGTTGATCTGCATATTCAATTAACGCTGCTGCTTTCAGTGTTTCCACGGCAACGGAATTGTTTCTGTAAATGGCAAAGCACTGTGTCTGCGCCATCTATGTTCCTGTGGCGAGTCTAGTGGACCCAACTGACCTAGGCTGTCACTTCCAGAGTGACTGAACCCAGCGACACAGTGTCCACACACAGGACACGATGACCTTCCATGTCCCCAGTCCCCCGAGGGTTCAGCTAGGCCCTGCGGCTCCGCTCTGGGCCCTCTGAGCCCCATACAGGAAGTAGACCCTGGCACCTGTGTCTGTAACTTCTCCCTAAGGAGACACCAAGGTGATGGCGTTTTGTTTGCGTTCACGTATGCCCACGTGGACACGTGTGTGCACAGACACTGTGAGACAACCTGTGCCTGGGTCTCACCGGGTCAGCTAGACTCGCTGTCTCGTGAGCCCCAGGGTCCTCCTGGCCTTGTCTTCCCTGATGCAGGGGTGGGGTGGGGTTGGCCCCTCTGCCCTCGGTCTGTACGGAGTTCTCCATGTGGCTTGTTTACCATCGGGTCCAGTTAGCTGCCTCGGCCACGGAGGCACCACATTGCCTAAGTCAAAATCAGTTTGTGACAGACTAGCCTCTCCTTTAAGGTCCTTTACAGTACAGGGTACTGTTTTCCCTTTCAGAGGGGAGAAGGGCCGGAATTCATGTTCAGCTTTTGGTCTTTTGTTGTTTTCTTTAAGGTTTATTTTAGTTTTACTTATGTGTCTGTATTTGTGTGTGGCTATGTGAGGTGAGTGTCCACAGAGGCCAGAGGTGTCAGATCCTCTGGAACTGGACTTAGAGGTGGTTATGAGCTGGCCTACCTGAGTGTCGGGAACCTCACTTGGGTCCCGATGAGGGTGGTACACACCTTTAACCTCTGAGGGACCTCTCCAGCCCCCAACGTGTGTTCCTTTAGATTCAGCCTCCAAATCCAGTAGCAGTCCTCATGCTGTGGCTCCGTTTGCATATGGCACATGGCAACCTGGCCACCCCAGGGGTCTTGTGTTAGCTGGTGCCTGGCCTGGCTCTGCTGAGATGTCTTATCAGCTTAATCATCGGAGTTCCGTCCCCACCCCCCATTATGCATGGTTAATTAACTTTATATTATTTTGTTCAGAAATTTCATTCACATCCTAGTTTCGAATTGAGATTTGCATGATGAACGATGGCAGTAACAAAATCTTCATTCAATCCGTCAGACTCCCGCCCCACCTCACCCACACCCCCCAACCCGGCCTCGTTTCCTGCCAAGTCAGGGCTGTGTCTGTGCCTTGCAGTGTGCGACATCCCTCTCTATGAGATCTGTGACTACAACATCACCAGGGACCAGTGCAAAGACCTCGGATGCTGTTTCTACAGGGGCGTCTGCTACAAGAAAGCTGTTCCCAGTGAGTACAGAGACCACCGCGCACCTGACCGGGTCCTGGTCATTGTCCATGGTGTTCATGTCCCATCTGCCACCAAACAGCGGGGTGGAAATTCACTGACTGCTGACCGCTCACAACCCCATGGAGCTCTGCTCTGTGTTGTGTGTGAGGGGGCTTCTCATACTCCCTTTCCTGGAAGAGGGTGGCCTTGCAAATGCTGGATGTGAGACTGTCCCTACCAAGACAGCTGTGGGACCAAGGGTGACGTTGGCCGCAGCCAGCTGAGAGTCTGATCAGGCAAGGCTGTGCTGTCTGGCCAAAGACTGTGGGGACATCTGAGAAGTGCTCTGTGGCTGGGTTTCTCCAGAAGCCACATTAACACCACACTGGAACACACTACGGTCCTGAGATTAGTCTTGGGCTGTCCATTGAGCGGTAGGGCAGGCTTCTTTCTCACTGTGTCTCCCTCCTGAAGTGGGAGCAGGAAGGAGCAGTGGAATCCTAGAGAATCCAGGTGGCAATAGAGAAAAGCTGAGTCCATTCCGCCCTTGGATAGATTCTCACATGTCAGGACTGTATCCTTCTGAACTTGGAGAATGTTCTGAAGTAATGTCTCCAAACCGTCATTAAATTCCATTGGGAGGCTTATGAATTTCCTTCCTCTGTTGATAGCTTTCAGAAGGGTAATCATGGGAGCTGTGTGGTATGCATCCATTCTTCATTTCTATCAGAAAAGAGGGGTGGACTCTCTGAGGCCGGAAGACCACACTGGCCATGCAGCAGGAACCTTGACATGCTGGCCACCTGCCTGCTCCCTGTGCACAGTGCTACACACTCTCAGGTCCCCCTCCTGTTCTTTCTTCTCCTACTACAGGTAGACTGAGTCCCTTGAGACAGGACTGTGTCCCCTTCCCTGGTACAAGACCTGGGAAGTCAGGGAACAGTGACCCATGGGACCTGCCGGGCACGCTGCCCCACACCAGCTCCTCAGGAAAGAGCTGGAGAAGGGCAGGCAGGGCCGCACTGCCTTCCACCAGTGCCATGGAGACTGAGCGTTTAGGCAGATGATAATAGAACTCACCTTTCCCAAAGAGGCCGCAAAGGACACCACCATCAGCAGCAAGGACTTTCTGCTGGAAGCACCCTCCTATGTCTTGACTTAGGAAGGCTCAGGAGGACTTTCCTCACTCCAGGGGAGGACTGACCCTCGCACACCAGGACCCCTTTCTGTCATCTAGAAGAAACAACCAGAGCTGATGTCTTGTTATTATTTCTATTGAGACAAATTGGTCATTCTATAAAATGCATTTTTTTCCATGCTGGCAATGGATCCTTGTGTGTTAGGCTAATGCCCCATCTAGAAGCCACCACTTTAAAAAAAATGCAACTTTATGGGCTTTAGAATGTTCACAAAGTTGAACAGCTTCTAACACTATCTAATCTGAGACCATCTCACCTCACATGTTAACATCTATTTCCTAAGGCTCCCTCCTGGCCTCGCTGATTTGTCTGTGGGTTACCTGTTCTGGATACGTCATACAAGTAGAATCACAGAACGTGTGGTTCTTTACCAGTATGATTTCCTCCCCCCCCTCTGATGTACGTGCGCGTGCGTGCGTGCGTGCGTGTGTGCGTGCGTGTGTGTGTGTGTGTGTGTGTGTGTGTGTGTGTGTGTGTAATCTCTCTGTGTGTATATTTGTCTCTGTGTGTGCGCATGTACATGTGGGTGCCCGTGGAGGCCAGGAAAGGGTGTTGGTTCCCTGGAACTGTTAACAGGTGGTTGTGAGCTACCTGAACTGGGTGCTGGGAACCAAACAGGTTTTCTCTAAGAGTACTATGCACTCATTTTTAAAAGAATCTTTCTATTTTTGAGATTAAAATATAATCATAGTATTTCCCCCTTCCCTTTTCTCCTCTCAACCCCTCTCCTGTACCCACTTGCTCTTTCTCAAATTCATGATCTCTTTTTATTATTACATATACATACACACGCACATTCCTAAACATGTAAATACAACAGCTCAGTCCATATAGTGTCACTTAGATGAATATGACTTCAGGGATGACCAGTTTGTATTAGGCAATCAGTTTGGGGGTTCTTCCCTGGGAAGGACTATTTCTCTAGCTGTCAGCTTCCCATTCCTTAGCTACTGTAGCTCTTTGTCTAGGGTTGGAGCCCCATGAGATTTTCCCTTCTGCGTTAGCATGTCTAGTGCATGCCTAGCATGGTTAGGCAGCCATGTGGGTGAGATTTCCCCTGTGTGGCTTTGTCATCTCTAGGAGACACGGTGGGTGTCACAGCAGCATTCCTGCTCCTCTGGCTGTCCCCTTTCCTGCTCCGCTCTCTAAGCCTTGGGGGAGGAGCTGTGCTGTAGGTACATCCTGTGGTCCCCTGGTCCCTGAATCTTGACGGGTTGTGGGCTTCTGTCAGAAAGTGCAGTTGTCTCTCCAGCCCTGCTACCATATGCTTCGAGACGGCCTTTCCTCAGCTTTATAGTACTCCTGGCTAGTTCTATGTCAACTTGACACATGCTAGAGTCATCTCAGAGGAGGAAACGGAAATCGAGAAATTGCCTGTGTAAGATTGAGATGTCGGCAATCCCGTAGGGCATTTTCTTATTTAGTGCTGATGGACGAGGGCCCAGATCATTGTGGGTGGAGCCATCCCTGGGCTGGTCGTCTTGGGTTCTGTAAGAAAGCAGACTGAGTAAGCCATGGGGAGCAAGCCAGTAAGCAGCAACACCTCCCCCCCACCCCATCCCCACCCCCACCATGGCCTCTGCATCAGCTCCTGCCTCCGGGTTCCTGCCCTGTTTGAGTTCCTGCCCTCATTGCTTTCGATAATAAACTGTTATATGAAAGTGTGGGTGAAATAAACCCTTTCCCCCCCAAGTTGCTTTTGGTCACAGTGTTTCATCACAGCAATAGTCACCCTGAATAACACTGTGGTCTCTCCTAAGAGGAGTCATCAGGCTTCCTGTTTCAAATGGAACTATTGACCAGGCCTGACTTCACAGATCATTTTGAGTCCCAGGATTTCCAGGGTTAGCTTGCCTGCCATGTGCTGCATTCTGGCCCCCTTTTCGGGGCACGTAACAGCACACAGCAGTTCTCCTGGGGTTGGCCTGGAGCCTGGTGATACTGTCCCCATAATCTGCTCCTGCTCATACCTGCCATTCATTCCTGTTGTTTGTGGAATTGGCGACTCCGTGCTCATATCACAGCAGGTGGAGAAACATTTGTAGAACACAGCTCTTCATGTCTGTCATGGAGGCGCACTTCTCAGAGGATGCCAGTCTCTTAGGCACTTACGATGCTTAATCTCAGTTGTCAACTTGAAGAGATCTAGAGTCACCTGGGAGATGGGCTCTGGGCATGCCTCTGGGGCACTATCTTTTTTTTTTTTGGTTTTGGTTTTTCAAGACAGGGTTTCTCTGTGTAGCTTTGCGCCTTTCCTGGAACTCGCTTTGGAGACCAGGCTGGCCTCGAACTCACAGAGATCCGCCTGCCTCTGCCTCCCGAGTGCTGGGATTAAAGGCGTGTGCCACCGCCGCCCGGCTGGGGGACTATCTTGAGTGGGTCAATTGAGATGGGAGATCTGCCTGCTGTGAGTGTCAGTGTTCCCTGGGCTGGAACCCCAGACTGTCGGAAAAGGAGCCTGTGAGCTGAGCATAAGCAGTCAACATCCTCTCCCTTCCGACTGTGGGTCTAATGTGACCAGCTCCTGTCCATTGACCTCCCTGCTCTGATGGACTGTACACTAGAACCGAGGCCCACACGGCCCATCTCATCTTTAAGTTGATTTATCTCAGCAACAGACAAGAACCAGGGCAGAAACTGGGACCAGGAGTGGGGCTGTTGCTGTGATGGGCCTGACCGGGTTAAGCCTTTGGACTGGTTTGTGGGAAGAATATGGAAGAATTTGGAATTACGGGCTAGAAAAATCCTTCAGATATCATAAGCAGATACTAATGGGTTGCTCTGATGGGAGACTGAAAGACCAGAATCCTGAAAGAAATGTAGGCAGCGGAAAACCTGACTGGTGATATTTCAGATAGGAGTAAAAATTCAATCAGAAACTGAGATGGGTCTCTTGGTTAATATTTTGGGCAAGAATCTGGTTTCTTTTTGTTGTATTCCAAGAACCTGAGAAAAGTTGCATCTAAGGAAGTGGACTAATTTGTCTGTCGAGGAAATCTCAAGATAGGAGGGCACTGGGTTCCGTGCTGAGAAAGCAGCCCTACCTGTTAAATAGATTAGCACCACTGAAGAGAAACCTGTGCCGCACCGGGTCAGGGAAGAGTTAAAACCCCACCCACCCGAGCCACCGTAGTGTGAGGATCCAAATTCATCCGGAGGAAGCAAGTGTAAGATGGGGTTGTTGTTCCTCCAAGGCAACAGTCCGGGGCAGTGCTTCCCCAGAGTCAGCACATGCAAGCCAGGGCAGCTATGGTACAAGCTGGCTGTGTTACAGCTTGAGCTGTCCGAAGAACTTGGCAGCATCATCCATGTGGTATTGGTTTTGCAGGCATAGAAAATAAAAGATAGAGGGGGTCATGGAATTTTGCTCCTTGGTTTCAGAGAGCAGATGAGGCCAGGCACCGTGTGGCAGGGTTGGAATCCATGCAAGGAGTTCCTGCGAGGCCATTGTGCGAGACTGTGAAGGCAAAGCCTAAGTTAGGGTGGACACTCTAGGATATTGGAGATGCAGGATTGTGGGACACAGGCCGAGGAACGCTGCAGGCATGCAGTAGAGCCACCCTGAGAGACAGGCTATGGCGTTCGGGTGGCATAGCCGGAGGGTAAGGCTGTGTTCCTTAGCACCCAACAGTTTCATTGTGAGGCCCAGATGTTGCACACAGAGTTGGAGGATTTGGTGTTTGCCCTGCTGGAATTTCATCTTGGTTGGGCCTAGTCATCTCTTGGTACCCAGATCCTTCCATTTTGGAGTGGACGTATTTATTCTATGCTGTTGTATGCTGGGAATATGTAACTTGGATTTTATTTTATAGGAGCTCACAGTGAAGAGAATGCCTTGAGTCTCAAATAAGATGTGGACTTTAGACTTCAAACTGTCGCAGTTGTTAGACTGTGGGGTCTTTTGATGTTGGATTTTATTTTGCATTCTGAGATGAACCTGAGACTTTGGGGAGAAGAAGTGGAAGGCTATGATTTAAGTGATGTGTCTGGGCATCAAGTTAACAAGTGGAATTGGGATGGTGGGTCTCAACTGTCAACTAGATGAACTCGGAATCACCCGGAAGATGGCATGGGGGTATGTCTATGGGGACCATCTTGATTGTGTTAGTGACGATGGGAAGACCTGCCCACTGTGGATGGCACTGTTCCCTGGGGTTGGATCCTGGACTGTGTAAAGAGGTAGAGGTGAGCTGAGCACAAGCATTCATGACTTTCTGCTTCCTGGATGTGGATGCAGCATGGCTGGCCTCTGCCTTCTTGACTTGGCACCGTGACGGACTCTGCCCTTGAGCTGTGAGCTGAAATAAATCATTTCCTACTTAAGTTGCTTTGGTCAGGGTTTTCCTAGCAACAGGAAAGTGCCTAAGAGCACTTCTGCAAATGAGCGTGTCTGGAAAATTCTACATTCAGAGCTCCTCAAAAGCCGGAGAAATGAGCATCCAGTTGACATTTAAGACACGCTTTCAGTTGTTTCCATATGAACATGTGGGGCACCCTCAGTTTCTAGTCCCAGCCAAGAGCTGGAGTCATTACCTCAATTGCTACATACACCCAGGCCATCGCTGCTTTTTAATCCGCTGTGTCCTCTGGACAGTTTCTCAGCAGATTTTCTCAGCAGATACTGGCGTTTTTGTGAAGGTTGTGTGTGCCACCCATTGCTTACGCTAGAGCCGTCACCAGTCACTCACGTGAGGACAAGCCATGGTCTCTGGAGTGTCTTAGTTGTGGGTCTCCTTCAGGAACCCAGAAAACAGCACAGGCTCTCAGGAGCTTGTGTTGGTCAAGGGGCCACCACATTATCTCGTGGTAGCGGATATGGACCCTCCGTCCATCTTTTCCATATTAGTAGACGAGTGTGTGGGCGCTGCCTTTTCTCAGCTTCTGACATCTTCCAAGTTGAGGGGTGGGGCCATCGGTAGGAAGATTCTGGGCAGTGAGCCCGGCATTTCGGTTCTCACTGTGCCCTCAAATGATTTTTCGTTCCTTTGACATCTCTCTCATTCGAGGCAGCAAATGAACCTTTGTGCTGTGTAAGTTGTAGGATTCGGTGACAGGGTATTATGAGTTCTTTGTGCATATAATTCCATGTTATGAAAACCTTTCACCAGCTTCTGAAATAGGCTGGTTTGAAGTGCACACTGTGTTATGGCAGAATCTGTATTATTAAGAATATAAACTTGGGGAATTTGCATTAGATCTTTCAAGAAGAACAGGGAGTGAGGAAGGAAGACTTGCCGTCACTCTCCAGTCTTGATGTAGGGCACATTATTCAATATGTCATTTCTTCTAAGTATTTGACCTCCCGTTTCTTCATGGGACTTGCTGAGCTGACTTCAAAACTTCTGTTAATTGTGCTGGGGAGACGTTAGTGAGGTGTTCCCTCAGGAAGATCACCCTTTCTTCTGCTCCTGCTGGCTGG